CCGCTATCAAGCTCACAGATATCATGCTACCGAAATTATCCTTTGATAAGCCCTACAAGGTCAGAATTCCTGAAAGGGACTGCTGTAAAGCGATAATATCTATGATTGACAAAGGGTCCCAAGTATGGTATACCGATGGATCAAAGATGGAAGACGGGAGTACTGGGGCAGGCGTGCTTGGACCAAGGTTCCAGAAAAGTCTGCCAATGGGCTCATACCCAACCATATTCCAGGCGGAGATCTTCGCAATCGAAGTCTGTGTTCGAGAATGTCTTCGGAGAAGGACAAACGGGGCCAGAATAAATATTATGTCGGATAGCCAGGCAGCACTAAGGGCCTTAGACTCATTTAAAACGACATCAAGGCTTGTGGACAGTTGTAAAACTCTTCTGAATAGCCTAGGAGCCCATAATAGAGTTACGCTGTGGTGGGTCCCTGGGCATGAAGGGTTTGAAGGCAACGAAAGGGCTGACTATCTCGCAAAACGTGGGGCCCAAACGCGAATGCATGGTCCCGAGCCTTTCTGTGGTACATCTATAGGATACACTGCAGAACTACTTAGGAGTAGGGAGGAATCTCAGATTGCTGCCCACTGGCGTAAGTCAAAGGGAATGAGACAATCAAAGAAATTCATAACTCCTTCCAAGAGGAACTCAGAAAGACTCCGTGAACTCAGCCGGGAGGGTCTTAGGACTATTACAGGCTACCTGACAGGACACTGCAAGTTAAGGTACCATCTAAACAAAATGGGGCTTTCTGTAGAGACGGACTGCAGGTTCTGTGGGCTGGCGGAGGAAACCTCGGAGCACATTCTGTGTGACTGCCCGCGTATCATGAATAGCAGACTGATGCACCTGGGGAACGATTGTCTTCTCCATCCAAGATTTGGAACACGGCACCCTCCAATGTGCTTAATTTCTTGAATAGCCTAAGGTTGGAGTGACCACAATCAGGGTTTAGCACAATAGATCTTTTAGGTCGCAGCGCGAGTATACCCGACGTACTAATAATAATAATAATAATAATAATGTAAATAGAAAGTTGTTTATGGTCAACAAACTCCCGATTACGTTTGCATGACTTAACCACTCACTGTAAGTTGGGTTTTTTGGTATTTAGCGAAATCGCTGCAGCTATAGTGTAGTGGTTAGCAGTTCGCGCTACCATTCCGCTGGGCCTGTATTCAAGCAAAACAAAAAACAGACATCTCTGAATACCACAATCATTTAGGCTCAGTTATGCATACTTTGCACTGTTCGGCACAGCATGTCATTTTACGCAGAAATCAAAAGTCAATATTTATTTTACGCGACGTTTCGCCCGACGTTTCGCTAAAACTTTTTTAGCATCCTCAGGGGTAGTATTTATTTTATCTGTTACAACAAATATACAAAAATACAAAAAAACACTCACATTAAGTATTAACCGAAAAAACAAAAATGTATACATATATAACAACAAATTGAATTTAATGACAAAACAACTCACATTGTTGAGATA